CTAGTGCTTGCCGTAGCAGTTGCAGCTTGCTTCAGAAACCCTCCACCTTCCCCAGCTCCACCTGCATAGATCTGCTACGAGGTGATTCATGTATGCTATATGGGGGTTATTTCATGTATGTTATATTTGCAGCAGCAATATTTCTTACATACTCACAGTAGCATGTTGTGGATGTATTGGCAGTAGCAAGTCTCGGTATTTGCGTAGCAGATCTATTCCGCCAAGACCAAATACATTAACATTTTCATGTACATTACCATGTCAATCCCTCCGAGAGTTGTCATGACAGAACTAAACGGTTTTGGATCCCATTTACTTTAAATGTATAGATGGAAAACACAATGGAAGTCAATGGGAACCAAAACTGTTTGGTTACCAATATTCCTCAAAATATCTTCTTTTGTGTCCAGCAGAAAAAAGAAAGCCATACAGGTTTGGAACAACATGAGTGGGAGGACACAGTGACAGAATTTTCATTTTTGGGTGGACTGTCACTTTAAGATACCTACTTTTGGTCAAATCCTGAGTGGCCGTTCACACAGGACGTGTTCTTGCACAGAAAAGCAGCCAAACGCAGTGCAGAGGAATGGACCACAAGGTCTCAAGGCACATTTTTAAATGATGAACTTGATTTAACCTGACATGAAGTGGCAACAGTCACAGATGCCCACTTAGCGCATGTTGCCATTAAACAACAATGAAAATGTCGCGCAGACGGATGCTAGAGCGTGTCCTATGTGAAAGGCCCCTAAGGCAGCATTGCATGTTTCCTTAACATAGAAGACGATACCATAATGCATTGTGACGAGTGAAAAAAAAAATCCACCCAAGATGGAAGATGAGCAAGATAAATCCTTTTGACTATGTATATATACTTATACTATATAACATACTTCATTTCACTCAACACTGGAAAGTATATACTGTACATTATCGATCCAAAGTTTGGAGTTGTTAAGATGAAAAGGTCTTTTATGCTCATCAACACTGCAATTTTTATTTTTATAAAAATTCAGTAAAACATTGTAATGTTATGAAATATTATTACAATTTAAAACAACCTTTTTTAATTTAATTATAATTTGATATGTATAGACCCTTCAGAAATTGTAATATGCTGACTTTTTTATGATTTTTAATGTTAAAAATAAGTATTATATATAATAGTTTGTAAAAACCATGATACTTTCTTTAATGATAACCATGATTCTTTAATAGAACGTTTGATCAGAATTGATTTACAAAACAGAATAATTTGTAACATTTTAAATGCCTTTACTGTCACTTCTGATCAATTTAATGCATCCCCAATCAATAAAAGTATTATTACTTTTAAAAAATCTTACTGGCCTCAAACTTTTGAATGGTAGTGTATATAAAATTGTTAATCTAATTACAAATTGACTATTGTATCCGATATTGTTGTGCTATGTACTTTCTCTTACAATTACTACAGTGTGGCACTGAATGATGTGCTTGATCAGCTTAAATGTGCCAGGAAGAAACACACACACACACACAAGACTGCTTGGAGCTGAGAGAATAGACAGATGTCACTTTGAAACACAGCTTAATGTTTTAACAGTCACGATAAATAAGTAATGGATGTGTGGATGACATCACTTCTCTCTCTCTGACTGTCTGTGTCCTTCATTGTCTTTGACCTTCTAGTGAACACTACTCATAAAGCACCGTACTTTCCCTGACAGATTCAGCTCAATGCTGCAGTAGAGGAGGACACTTTCAGACAAACCAAACTCAGATTTTTCAGGGAAACAACATCATCCAGCCTCCAACCTGTCATATAGAGACTACTTTCCACTATTCAATCAATTCTCCATGAGCACAACAGTAAAAAATCAGTTAACCAAAGTAAAACAGATTTCAAACATTGACTTTAAGTCAAGAATTTAAATGTTTTTGTCTTTCTCAGAGTGTGAATTCAAACCAGAGTTAAAGGCTCACCAATATGTTTTCCGTTCATGTGGTAGTAGAAGGAGACACAGTAGGGGGTTCTGGTGGTCCCTGTTGGTCCTCGGGCTGCCGTAACATTGTACAATGGAGAGAGAAGACGAGCTCGATCCCCGGCCTGTCGTGGCCGTGACGTCTCAATATACATGTAGTAACCTTTATTGTAGATGGAAAGTATAAAACGAGTTAACACAAGGTTTTTCAAAGGGCAGAAGCTTTCACAAAATAAATAATAATAATACATACAGAAAAACAAAACAAAATAAAATAAAATAAAATAAAATAAAAT